CTCATTCTCCCTACATCCATCTCCCGCGCGGGCATCGCCTCGGCAGGTGGTGGGTCCCGGGCGGCAAGGGGGTCTGCAGCGGGTGTGGATACAGCAGCAGCTGGTGAGGGTGCAGTTGTAGTCGGAGGGTCCCGCGCAGCAGCTCGGTCCTGCACAGCATTACAAGCTGACGATATAGTCAAGCCGTGCGCTTGGATGCATGGATTGATTATTGCATGAGGTTCAGATACTAGCTAAAATTGCCGGAAAACGGAATGTATCAATTTGAAAAACACATTAAAATATTGTCTGTGGTAGCTGGACACGCCTGCGAGAGAACAGGTATCTTAACTGAGATAGGGATAGGGATAGATATATCTTGCAGAAAACCCAAGACTGCAACAGCAAATGTTTTCCTAGAATAGCACACCCAGAGTTGTTCCAGTAGATCGTATCCGGTTGTCCGAGTGCGATCAAGGAGAAAGTTAACTTGCGAAGTAAAACATTGCAAAACCCCGCATCGCCTACCTCTGTGAGCGCGGCCCTCGCCGCCAGCAGGAGGCACAGGGCCTTGGTGAGGGGCTCCTCGGAGGTCCGCAGGGTCCCCGTCAGCTCGCGGCCGCCGCCCCGCAGCGTCACGTCCCAGGACTCGCCGGTGAGCAGAGTGAGGGCGGGCAGGGCCTGCTCCTCCCGGCACTGGTCCTGAAGGCACTGGAGCTGCTCGGCGGCCTGCGGCAGCGCGTCCTGCAGCTGGCGCCGCAGGGCTCTCTTGACGGGCAGGACGTCGTGGTCCTCCCAGCAGCGGGGCGACGAGGAGGTGCAGCAGTCCGAGCACCAGCCGCGGGGAGTGCTGTGGGGCACAAGTCAGGCCATGAGGCTCTCGAACACCTCCGCGGCCGGCTGCGCGCAAGTGACTTACCTGTCCAGCCTGACTCCCTCCAACAACTTCAGCACCAAGAAATTAGTGATGAGTTCCTCCGGCGGGCTGTTAAAGTCCTGCGGGGAGAACGGGTCAGAACGAGTGTAACAACTAACGAGTGATCCAGGACTTTTACCCCACGCCACTCACCCGGCGGCACGTCGGGCAGCTGTTGTCGGGCAGCCGGCGCAGGCACTGCAGGCAGGCCGTGTGCCCGCACGGCAGGACCTTGGGCAGCCGCT